CCCATAAACTATTTGGGGGGATTCCTCATCATATTTGTAGTATAACATATACCCCAAAACCCTATTCTAACTATTTGGGCCCCTCCATTAGCTCTTCAGGAGCTTGCGGGAGACGTCGGTAAGAAAGGCACTAACCGACAAACGGTTCAGGGTTATGGGGTTTAGGGTTCGGGGTCTAGGGTTTAGAGTTTAGGTTTCAGGGTTTAGGGTTCAGGGTTTAGGGTTCAGGGTTTAGGGTTCAGGGTTCAGGGTTTAGGGACTTGTTTTGCTTCCTTCGTGTGCCACTGCTGCCCGGCTGCACCGAACAAAACGGGGCTGCGCACACCGTGGCCTTAAATCATGGCCCCCCCTCAAGTGGGTGGTTGTCAAAATTAGGGTGCCCTTTTGTGGGTCCCTACTGCAATACGGCACGTATTATTTAGGGTACCCAAAAAGGGTCCTTAATGTGGACAACCACCAAAGTATCTGAGGATGGTTGTTGACAAGCCGAATTCTAAAGTACTGTCATACAACAAAATCCTTCATTCATATTGCAAACTGATATTGCAAGCTGGATGCGCATGGTGATATTCGCCATGCTGTCAACTTGAAACTTTATGGCAGTATCAAGAGTATAGTATTGGGACTGATAGCAAGTGCCATCGTCACATATCGACAATCCTACGAGTCTTACTTTCCGGAGTTTGTGTGCAACTCCGACCCCAAAGTTGGTATAGTTGCCTCCATGGCTCTGTCAGTTGCTTTCAAACTCAACATCTTCAGATTTGCCGGAGGCGTCCATTCGAGAGGGAGCGGAAAAAGCCCGGGTGCTTTTCCTGGGCCGCCCGCCAGCTTCCCTGTGAAGCTGTGCACTTCTTTTCGTTGCAGGTTTCAGGCTTTGAGGCTCATTTAGGGCTTGTGCACTATGGGAAGTGCAGCTTTGGGCTGCTGTGTTTGCTGAGTCTGCTGAGCGTTTGCATTAGGGCGTCCCTGTTCTAAACGTCGCCCAGACGTGGCAAGCAGGCAGCAAATGGCAGCAAGGAGTTGACAGGACCGTCAGAGGTCCAGAGGATTTTTTCGCTTTACTGTTGAAGATAAACACTGCGTGCCTCGGCACCAATCCATATCAGCAATAAACCTCTTGACACAAGGACACGGTCCATGCATGCTTCTGAAGACGACCTCAGCTACAACAACTGCTTGTCAAAGGCCATGTTGGCCACAACTCAGGCAAGGAAAGCTGCTGCCACAGCAGTCACGCGAGCCGTCGGGAAGATTGCCCACATATCCAAGCCTGCAATGACGCTACGGTTTGAAATCGCACCACTCCCGAGCCAGACCTGCTATTCCATGAGGGAACAAGTACCACGACCACGACGATTGCTGCACGGTTGGAGGCGACGACCATGGTGCAGAGGCGGGAGGCCACGAGGAGGACGAACAAAAGAAAACCGGGTAGATCCGGGGCCCGGACTGATGAATTGGACATGGAGACTCTGCCTCGCAAGCCGACCTCACACCCCTTTGCAACCAAAGTCTGCAGATATCAACTTTCTTGATGTGCTGGCATGATGTTGCACATCGTTTCCGTCTTGTAACTTTTCCTCGAGGTCAGTGCATCTACACAGCGTGGTGCAGATTCTGCGGGTTTTCCGAGAGGCAGGCTGTCGTGCCGGAGTATATTGGGCACGGCAGTCTTCTTGACATCGTCTGGTGGGTCTCTTCAAATTTTGCCGACCACCTTCTTTGCATCTGTCGAAAAGGGGATGCTGTGCAGATGGAAGCTGTCAGCTGCCAGGTCCATAATCTTCATTGGCCCGCCGAGTTCTGGATCGAGGCGTGGTATAGACGAGGTCAAGAGTGTCCGAAGTGTCCCATGGGGTTTCCGAGTCCAACATACTTCAATTCTCACTGGATTATACATGTGTAGAGTATATATTTAGAATATAGTCGTAGATGTCTGGTATTGTGTGTGCATGGCGTGTCTGTGTGTGTGTGTGTGTGTGTGTATTCTTAGGTATGTATACATAAGTTCAAGTGCATGTACTGTGTATGCTTAAATACATATGTAACGTACATTTCAGCATACATTATTCGCATTACATACATACACACACATGCATAATGCATGCATCCGTACATGTACATTCACAGGCATATGTATTTGTACATGATAGATGTGTATGTATCTGTATATATATATGTATATGTATATGTAGATGTAGATGTGTATGCATGCACGCACACATGTACATCTGCATGTAGATGTAGAAGTGTATGTATATGTAGATATAGATATGTATGCATCCATATGTATATGTACATGTAGATCTAGATGTGTATGTATATGTATATGGGTTATGTATGTGTATATATGTGTTGGGACATGTATATGAACAAGTATGTATATCTGTGTATATACAATGTATATATATATACATATATATATATATATGTATATATGCAGGTTTTTACGTACACACATACATGTCTTGTAGAGTATGTATGCATGCATGCATGTGCGTATGGGCCTATGTGCATACGCACCTGGGTAAGCAAGTGAAGTATATAGTTTAATGTATGCATATTACAGAGTATGTATGGGTGCATGTATGCAGGTATGCATGTATGTAGGTGCATATGTACGTACATGCGTGCGCACATACGCACCTGGGTAAGTAAGTTAAGTATGCACGTAATTGTACTTAGGTATATATATATATATATATATATATATATATATACAGATGTATACACATGTATATGTACATGCAGATGTGAACCCGTGTGTACCTGTAACTGCATGTATGTATGTATGTATGTACGTAGGCACAAGACACAGATTGTCCATGTCTGAATGTGCACAGGCCATAGCCCACACCATAGATGCCAAGCAAGCCATGCTACTAACGCGGTCCGTGAAGTAGAAGAAGCTGGGCTAGACTTTTGTCATTGTGTCAGATTCAGCTCTAAGACGCAGGATCGAGGTAGTAGCACAGTCTTCGGTAGTACCCAGCAGCGGGTGGTAAGATCCAGGCCGCTGATGCCTCGATGCTGGATGATGATGCATCCCAGCGCCTCCAAGCGCTGGGAGCTGTTCTGAGGGCAGTGCCTTCCCCACAGGTGCCTGTTGGGACATGAGGGTTTTGGGTTCGAATTCTGGATGTCATGTTTTAGATTTTGCAGCAGACTCTGGCGAACAGCGGGGTGTGATGGGGTCTGGCCAAGGTCTTGATGGGTCGTTGCCTAAACCAGGTCCTCGAGCACGGACTTGTTTTGGAAATCAGAAGTAGAGACAGAAGCTAGGCTCATACTGTAGCCTTCAACCGAGTACGTTTTGCAAAGTGTCTCCAGTGGAACTTCTGCGAATTCGGTGGGCAACGCATAATACATAATACTGTACCTGCGTGGCTTGCTTCGCTTGCTGCTGCCGGGAAATTGCCAACACGTCATGATTTGTGAGGCTTGAGTGGCAGAGCTAAGAGAATTCCCAGTTTGGCTTGCCGATCTCTAACCAGTGTGGAGCCACCCATGGATGTTCAGTTTGCAGGGCGAGTTCCCAGAAGATCATCCCTTTTGGAGGTCCGCGACAGACCGCTGGTTCAGTCGTCCGTTTCATGATGTCGAGACGATCCATGCCAAAACCATGCAGAGCTCTGAGCTGCCCTGCCACCTCAGTCAGTGGCTACGGCTATGCAGGTGGCAGGCTCGATTTGCCGTTCACTACCGGCAAAATCCTGAGGCTGTGTCGAGGTGGGATTTGTGGAGAGTGGTCTTTCTCGCTCGTGTACTTGTTTGCGCCATCCAAAAGCACCGCTGTTGTTGAGTTTTCCCGCCGGCTCCTGGCACAGTACTGTATCGACTCGCATCCGCCATGAGTGCATGCGCAGTGTCTACTACTACTTACGAGTATCTGCATTGACAACATTCTACCTCGATGGAGAAGCGGATTTTATATGGATGCATGTGTGTCCGCACATCTACCTGTGTGTCCACAGCGACCAAGACGACCATGACCACGACGACCAAGACGACCACGGTCACCAGGACCACCTCGACACCACCAGGGTGCTACCTGAGGACCACTGTAGGCTATCATAGGACTGCCCTCAAGTGCTGGTGGGATTTCAGAGATTTCGAGGTCAACAATGCGGGTGATCAGTGTTTTGGAATCAAGAATGGATCTGGTTTTCCAGCCGCACGCGTCGTGTGTAAAGAGAAGACATGAGTGCACACTATGCACCGTGCCACAGCGGGAGCCGCATCCCAGGCTTCTCTTGACTCGCGACTACCTCATAGTGAGGAACACCTTCTAAAAATACGAGCAGTCTGCAGAACAGGCATTGCTGCTCCGGTGTACATATCTTTACATGCATGCATCTTGTTTATCTACGTTTTTGTTGATCTCTATCTTTGTTCAAACTACGTGTTGAGCTAATGCACACATCTGTCTGGTTCCCGCCCACCATGAAGATGCAAGGTGAGAGCATCTCGGATTGGTAGGGTAGATTTCCTGCAGTTGGGTGGTTGTCAAAACTATGGTCCCCTTTTGGGTGCCCTAAACATTTGGTGCCGTAGTATATTGGGTGCTCAAAAAGGGGCACCTGAATTTTGACAACCACTCAATTGGTTCCGGCAGGCTGAGGGCTTACTCGCTGAAGCCCGTCGTCCTCGCGCTGAGCGATTGTGCCCGTGCCCTGGCGGAGCCTCGTAGGGACTAGAGACTACTTGAAGTCAAGGAAGTGTACCGAATCCTATGCGTGCCAAGCCCTTGCACACAAGTTGAGTCGTATTAATATACTTACTAGCATTAACATTACTATTTCTTCTCTTATTCTTATTTTTATTATTACTCATCTTCAATGCCCTTTGTGAGGACCCTTGTTTCTTCCTGGATGCCGACAACGTCCCCCTGCGGTCGCCACAGGAGCCGCCTGGGTCTTCATGATGCCACGTCGCGCTGCTAAAGCTCAGAGAACCTCTGAGAGCTGCTATGGTGATATCTGGGGGTTTCCCAAATAGGGGACCCTAATTTCATACCCTAAATAGTAGGATCCTTGTTGTAAGGATCCCAAAATAAGGTACCCCTAATTTTCGGAAACTCCCATATCTAGTGAAAAAAGAGCTATTTCTGTACGTTTCATGATTCTCTATATGTTCACATGCAATCACTTGTTTCACGCAGTATTGTGTATGGTGATACACCCTGCAAGTGCAGCGAATGGTCTACAGCCGTATGAAGACTACAATGAGACAGCCAACCTCCAAATACATACGATTGAAAGCCAACTGCGCTCACGGCATTCATCCTCCACATTGAGATATTTTGCGAAGACAGTTACAGCATTGTTACGCCATGCACGCCGTTGTACAGTAGGCTTCTGGTTTATTTCGTGACTGACGACCCGTTCTCACTTTTCATTGTGATAACATATCACCAGACAGAGCGACAAGGCAAGGAAACAGACGTGCGTACATCTAGCAGTGACGAGGAACAAGGGCGGGCGGAAGGCAGGGGTTGTCTTACCCCATGCAGCCGCTGAAGACTTGAAACGTACCGCAAGCATGCATGCATTCACTTCTATATGCATGTCATTATATTGTACTGTAAGTAGGTAGGCAGGCTGGTAGGTAGGCAGGCAGGCAGGCAGGTCAGTATGTAGGTAAGTTAAGTTTGCAAATCAGTTTGCATGCAGGTATGCACGTGTGTACGGATGTACGTATGTATGTCAGTAAGCAGACAAAAATATGTATAAACCTATGTATCTGCATGTGCACATATGTACATTTTTTCAACAAGCATATTATATACATATATATGTATATGGATGGATGTATACGTACGTGCAAACGAAGCGCCGGGACTGAAAGCTGAAAGTTTTTTGCACGTTACGGCATGCCAGCCGAAGAAGTCCATGAGGAGCTCATTCCGACTTTGGATGAGTTCCCGGCAGCTTCGTCTGATTTCAGCGGTACATACGTTTCATACACTGACAGCGTCGAGGCACAAGTGGCTGTTGACTCTTTGATGTGCGCATTTCTTGGTTTTTCAATAGTGGTGGCCGGGCCTGGCCGGGTGCGGAAACAACCGGACGGACAGCTTTAACAGCATTGCTTTGCCGGTGCTCGAGGCACTGTTCTGGCCAGACTTTTGGTCTGCCCCGAGGAGAGGTGTTCCAAGCTTGATGCACACAGTTGCTACAGCAGGCAGAATGAGTAGTGCTGTCGTTACAAAGAACCCGGCTTTCCGATGAGTCTTGTCTCCCAGGACGGGGTTGTGGTCGTCCTTCCCGGCAGCGAAGTCTCAGGACTCGTGCTAGGCGCAGATATAGCGAATACTGTGAAGGGTAGGCGTCCTGGATGAATGTCGTTGTTTCTTGCGGGCCACCTGCAGGAGAGTGGCCAGCTGATGCTGAGGAAGACACCCGAGGCTCTCTGCCGTAGCTAAGTACTTTGCATGTCAACATCGAGTGAGTGTGTGTGTGTTGCTTTTGTTTTGTGTTCTATTCTAGTATATCGCATTATGTTGTATTGTGGCGTACTCTTTCTACTGAACTATATTTTAACATGGCTTGTGTTCTCTTCGGTTGTTTCGTATGGTATTTTGTATTGTCTTGTCTTGCACTGTGTCATAGCCAGCTATGTTGTGCTATGCCGCCATCTTGCATCATGTTATACTATACTACATTACACTATGTTGCACTACGATACATTACTTTACTCCCTTGTACGACATATGTATATGTATATACGATTGGTTTTTTATTCTGATGGTTTTGATTCCTGTATATTTACACTGCATGTTCACCCCTCTCCCCTCCCCCCTTGCCGACAATAAACTGGGCTGTACTGTAGCGTTGTGCAGTGTACTGCACGTTCATGCGTTGTATTGTATGGCTTCTTACTATGTAACACATTGTTTTATGTTTGCTAATATGAGGTTGGAAATGTCATATTCTACTATCCCATGAAAGATTGTATGATGTCCAACGATCGGGTATCATTTCTCCAATTATTATGCTACATTGTGTCGTAGTCGGGTTGAATATAGACGTTTGCTGTCATATTACGCAGTGTTCTATACTAGTTTGTCATGCTTCCTGCTTCAAGACACGAAAATGCTTTACGTTGCCTGCAACTGTTAAATTTTGATGTGATGTGGCATAATATGCTACGTGGGTTCAAATCCGGTTATACTACGTCATACGATGTTTTCCGATATATTGTATTATATTCGACGAGTATTCAACGTACTGTACTACATTTCATTTTACTATATCCTACTGGGTCAGACTGTAGTTTACTGCGCAAAGCGGTTCTATCTTGTGTTATATCCTACTATATTGTGCATCTTATCTCAGGTTTTTTAGTCCTCTATCGTACGTTCATTATGCATATATTGCTCTCCTGCTGTATACAACACATTGATATATGTGTATATATATATATATATACATACATATATATATATATATATGTATATAACTCTCTCTCTATGTATATATATATATATATTGATTGTGTGTGATGTGCACATCTTCTATAACGGACTGTACATGTTTAGCACCTTTCAGTTTCTATTTCTGTTGTACATGGAATGGCAGATTACATATGACTACATTGTAGAAGACCATGTTCAGTCGTACATTGTATCTTAGATTATAGACTTTGTACTGTACATGTTATAGTACGCCTCCAACCACATTAGCTTCGTCATCATACACAGCTGTGTGTGCAAAAGTTAATGTAAGTAAACGCATGTACATGTACATGTCTAAATGCGCGTAGAACGTGAGCATGTGCATAGGTTCGGTAGATAGATCCTTAGACAGAGATCGAGATCGCCAGGTCGATAGATAGACAGATACATAATGATAGATAGACAGACAGATAGACAGATGCACAGGCACACACACAGACAGAGAGATAGTCAGATAGGCACATGGGCAGTTAGACGAACAGTCAGTCCGTCGGTCAGACGGCCAGGCAGGCAGGAAGACGGACAGCTAGAGATGGACAGAGACAATCAGGAAGATGTACGTTGCAGCTTCTGCGCATAGAATGAATGGCCCCCCCCCCCGTCCCCTTAGTAGGCTTTTACCTTTCTTGCTTCTCGACCAGTCTCTGTTGAGAGGTCCAGGAGGCCTTGCTGCTAGCGGCGCTGCTGGCTGTGCGCCTGGACATCTTCCTGGAGGCCCCTCTTGTCTTTGGTGAAGCCCCCTGAAGTTCCGGATCCGAGTGCACAGTGCTATACAAGGCCATCTATGGGGAGCAAGGGCACTTGATGTGCGGCTATGGCGACAAGGCTGGGCTCTGACCTGCTTGGGATCAGCTTGATCCACCCTGCTTGTAGCTGTCTCCTGCCGTAAAATTCCACGTTCAACTCCACTGCTGCCTGTTGCAGGATGTCTACCAGCTGGCCTTCCGGCTTTTGGGGGTAAAGTTCCGCATGGTAGCCAGGAGCTAAGGCATTGCTTGGCAGTTTTCTGGGAGTTGCTTCTCGTTCCGGAAGACTGCGATGTGATCCTTGGGCCCAGACGAAAGTCTTCAGATTCCAAGGAGACTCCGTTTCTTGAGATTTTGTTTTGCTAGTGCAAGCTTGATGAGAGCCTGCACCTCGAGTGGTATTCAAATTAACTTGACATCCGGGCTGTGCGTGAAGCTTGATGAAGCTTGAATCCTGCTCCTAGGACTTCGGACACATTTTTGCAGCACTTGCAGGTAGCTGCGACTAATTCGCTTCTGTAAGCGCCACACGGATGGGTAATGTTAGCATTGCGGTGACAGCATCAACAAAGAACCACTTGTCGTGCCACGCATCACGGTCCGCACACATGCTCTTGCGAATCGCGAGAGACTCCTGCCACATGAAAAAATAGCATGCTCCTCCAGAATGTATCGATCTGGACTAGCCATCGTCGTGCCATCCGCGCGAGAACTGCCATCTACCGTCCTTCTCCAGGGCTCCTCTGGCCCCAGTGTGCTTGTCACAGCTGGGGGGGACTACGCTGGGCTCGTGCAGCTCTGGACTCAGCCTGGGTCAGCTTAGTCTTAGTTTGTATATACTATATTACTATATAGTATACACTATATACTATACACTATCTACTATACATTATACACTATATACTATATACTAGATGCCAGCCCAAGAGTTCCTGCCACGGTGAATCCGGTGCTTCGCTTCGTTGTCATCCCCGAGGCTGGATGACGACCGGCAGTCTCTCTTCGCCCACGCGTGCCGCACCCACGCAGCCACGACTTGTGTAGTCATCACAGGCATCTGAGCCCAAGGTCCAAGGCCAAGGAAAGGCTGTGGCAGCTTCTTCAGGCCCCACAGCGCGACATGAGATCAAAGTGCTCGTCAAGAGAGCGACGCAGTGATCCTGTCCGCGCTATGTGATAGGCCGATGCCTTGCAGCGATGCGATCTACAGGAAGATCAGGCTATCGACATTACTGCTCTTATGTTCCTTTGTACATTGGTTTGTTGCCGTCATGCGCTCCTATCATCGCTTCGGCTGCTCCGCAAAGCTTACAGTATTTGCTAAGGCACCCTTGAATACGGCGACTGCTGGGAGTACTATACAGCAAGCCTCAGCTTTTCCATAATCACAGAAGTCCCACCATCCGCTGTCCTCTGGCAGTCTTGTAGGTGCCTGTTGGCCTCCTTCTGCCTTCGAATCCAGCTGCAGGCGAGCAACCTCGCCTGCACGTCCACACGGGGAGCCGGGTCGCCGCGCGCCCAGAGCAACGCGCATGAAGTTTGGGCTTAGGCCCAACAGGGAGCGATTGTCAGACCATCGTGCTCAAATGCTTGGTCAACCTCGCTCGTCGGCTCGGTCTGATCATTCGAAGTGTTCCTTTTTGCAGGTTCGAGCATCGTGTAGGTTGCTCCGGTTGTCAGGAAAGACCTGTTGCCACCGACTCGTCTAGTCAAGACCTCCAGTGACTTCGGCAACTTATGCACCATGGCAATCTCAATGCCCATCTTTTATTCCCTCGGCTGAGGCTTTCCATTCCCTTTGATGCGCTCCGGCGGGGCTCTTTGGGGGGTTCAGTTTTGCTGCCGCCTGCATTGTCCGACTCAAGGCAGAGGTACAGAAGTTATGGATTGATAGTGCAATGAATGTCGCGAGCCGTCGCGGATATTCCAGCAAATTTTGCTTGCTGTCGTCTCCGCAGGTGTACGACTCTCACCTTCCCGGGCCAAGATCGCTTGAGACAGATGTTGACAAAAGTCCGGCTGGCTTGCACAGAGCGTGCAGCTGGACGTCGGCCACACAGCTCGACGACCGGACATTGCCATCGGCCCGAGATGAGAGATGCAACCGCCCAAGGGGGCTCTAGACTCTAGACCAAGCATGACTTAAACCTCCAATGGCACGAGGCTGTTTGAGGCCTGCCGACCACCAAGATTCTCTGCTCGTAAGCATCAGCAGCATGATGAACACACGTCCTAGTGCCGCGGTTTTAGCCAGCCGTCCCCGATTTGGAGCTCCGTCGGCTGGCCCCGGAGGGAAGCATGGTGGCCTGGCTGCAGTGGCAAGATTCATTGGAGATGGCTCCTGCTGCACCCAGATTCAGTGTTCATGTCTCACGATTAGCCACTCTCTGGATTCCACCATACACACACACACACTCGGTAGTTATCTGATTTTGCAAACATGTATGTTGAAGATTCAATCACAAGTCGCATGCAAACGCACATGCAAATGCACATACATACGATGACATAGATGTACACGCATGCATACCAACAATTGCATACACACGGTACATGTCCATCTGTGAATGTATGCATGCATGGATGTGCACACAGGCGGAGGCTGATGCTGCGATGGACGGAGAGGACCAAAGCCGGTTTATTCAGGTTTTCGGGTGCCCCTTTGTCAAGGGAAGCATATACAGAGGTTCCAAGTATCGAGTTTCTTCATCGTGGGCATCCTTTTGTGGAGGTCCTCGTGAAAACTCGGTCTCTTAGTGTGTCTCTTAGTTGCCAAATTCCCAGAACATAGTCATGTCTTGCGTTTGGGAGGACCACATCTCCACGCGAGCGCGAGGGCGAGGTCAGGGCCCTGTCAAAGTCCGAGCACGCGGCCCAACAACTTCACACACAATCTCTCTGAGTCGGAAGTGGAGCAACGACACACGTGTGAAGTTGTGTACCATCGTTTTTGCATATGCATGCGAATGCATGCTGGTAGACGAAGGGTCGGATGGGCACACAAGACACAAGACGGCGAAGTAGGCATGTGAGTTTCGGCAGCTCCTGAAGGACTGCAGCATACCATAGCATAATTGCGTTGGGCCCGTCGCGTTAGCGAGAGCCGGTGCATGGGCCGGTCGTGCGCCATACCGCCATAATACCGACAGCTCATAGGGTTCATTACGTAGGATGATTAGTTGGACAAGGGCGGGGGGTCATTATCTTCGATGCGATGCTCAGAACGGTCAGACAGAGTTGGGTCCATGGAAGTCCGATTGGAGTGGCCGGGACTGAGCCAGATGCCTCTACTTGTACTTCTAACTTTGCAGCCCCTGCTCCGCTGGTTGAAGCATTGCCCACGAACAAGAACTCAAAAAAGCAGGACGTTCCATGCCTGATTCTCTTTCCCCCAAAGCTAACTAAACATGCTTCAAGCATGGCATGTTTCTCGGTGAGATGCACCGCCTGCTTTCGATTCGACAACTTCCTGTGCATGCTGTTCGGTCACTCCAGTCAGCTTCCAAGGTCGCGGGCGCGGGAAGCGGCGCAAAGAAAAAGGCCGCCTGCATTAACGTACCGTGCTGCTCTGGTGTCATCCTGAGGCCCATAGCTTTTCCCCGAGCCTGCAACATCACACAGAGATACACAGAGCTCACAAGTGGCATTACGATGCCAGATCCCTTAAAGCGACCTCCTCACGATGGCAATCGTGCTGCCCATGTGTGAGCTTCCAAAAATTCGGGGTACCTTATTTTGGAGTCCTAAGAAAAAGGATCCTACTATTTAGGGTGCCCTATTCTCGAGAATAGGGGACCCCAATATAGTACCCTAAATTCTAAATAGTACGATCCTTAGTATAAGGACCCCAAGATAAGGTACCCCTGTGTTTCGGAAGCTCCCATGTGCTGTAAAGGAGTTGCTGGCTCCACGGCAAAGGCGGCGCCGCCCGCACCCCCTCCCTCGGTGGAGGCGATGAGAAAAGCAACTTCGGAAGGGTTTCGGGACGGTTTGGCTAGGATTTTGCTGCCTGACGGAATATGCTGCAGGTGTCATGGGGGAGGGTTGTAGGACCTGTAGGATTATCCATCCGGGCTACTGGTTGCTGCTTCGACTCTGTACTGTAACTCGAGTTGCTGTCCGTTTCAGACTGTAGCGACAGAGGCTCCTGCTCAGCCGGCGATTGAGTGCAATTTAATATGTCAAACTCGACGCTAGAAGCAGGTACATCACTGACGTCAGGAAATGTTTTGCAAAGTTCGGCTCGGCAAACGTCGGATTAAAAGCGCGGGGCAGAAGCTGATGGCTCAAAAGCCTTCTCGGAGTCATCAGCCGCGTAATCTGTGGAAACAACTGTATGTCGTTCGTGTTCCATGCACACCTGGCGCAACACGTCCTGGCAAGAGCTTGACAAGTGATCTGGCGTGGCTCGAGGCGCAGCACAACCTCTCTTCGAACATCCAGGTGCTGCGCCTATCAGGGCCTATCATCTCCCCTGTCAGATTACATTCTGTTTCGATTGAGGCAGGATGTGGCACAGGATGGATGATCGTTTGATATCGTTTGTTCCACCTTGCATTCCATCCTGGAAAACCGAGTTGTGCGCAGCTTTATGTTATCGCAGTTCAATTTTCTGAACTATGTTTTCTCATGTCTCGCTTATCAGATCCTATATGTATATACACATATATCTATATGTCTATGTATATGTAGGTATGCATGTTTTCGGTGACGGCGCCTCTATGCGCCTATGCTGTTTTGCAGGTTTAATGTCTTTTTTTTTTGTTTGGGGGGGGGTGGGGGGGGGGCTAATAACGTCATCTTCCACCTGGTCAGTGGCATTTAATTTAAGCTGCCTGCTGCCCTTTAGGCTGTTCGACTCGTACTGGCTCTACTACTGCTGCTGCCTGCTGCCGTTCAGGCTGTTCGACTCGTACTAGCTCTGACCAAAAGTGGCAGTGAAGCTCTGGCCTCAAGCATCAACACAATCCTAAACCCTAAGTCAAACCTGTCAAGTCATTCCTTCAAGCTGAGCAAGAGTTGCTCGGAAACTCTCTCAAAGATAAAGTTTTGTTCTGCACCTCGTCCAAAAGAAGCTTAAGACCCGAGCGAGAACGCAGTTAGGCCCAAAGTTTACTTCAGCCTCTAGTGTTTCGCGCACCTGCCTGAACAACAATTTTGGTTGAGAGTGCGCTCTCGCTGTGGTTTCGCGCGTATCCATGCCTTTATTCTGAATGTCTCAAGTTGCATAGGCGCGTACAGGCGCCGTAACCATGTTTTCCTCATGTGGTGCACGGTGCTCACATGCTTTCCTGCAAGCACGATACCTTGACATGCTCCTATGTTGCCTCATATTTGCCGTTTCTTCAGACGGCCCGGAATGTTTCCGGCATTCTTGTATCGCCTCACACGTGTTCGACTGTTGGGTTCAGTCAATGGTGCATTTTCCGGGGGCCAGAAAGGCCACATAAATGAGGATTTGGGGATTTTCCCGGCAGAGGTTCGTATCCCCCAAGCGGCTCCCGGGGTGTTGGCGCCCATTGGGCATCGCATTTTCCAGGTCCTTTTGGTCTGACGCCTTCGCTCGCATCCCGTGGCCCTAAAGCCTAAGCCTTGATTTGCCAGGGGCTTCGCTTCATGCAATCAGCCCGGGAAAACGAGGAGCGCAAGAAGTCCGGGGCTCGGAAAAAGGCAGGGGGGTACTATAGGGCCTTACTGGGGTTTAGGATTTCGGTTTGGGGGCTTAGGGTTTACAGGTTTTGGGTTTACGGGATGGCCCTTACAATGCGCTGAACGGCGGCGCGGATGACTTGTCGGTCCCAGTCACTGTACTTGGAGGATCATGGGACTTAGTAAGTCCTCAATTGGGGTTATAAGTAATTGTAAGTACGAGTATAGTTACCTTAATTATCACCCTAGTTACTAAGTCCCATGACCCTTTAAGTAGCTTTTTCTTCCACCCGCTTCCCAGTTTGATGGGTCCTTTTTGCCGGACAGCTGCTGTTTGCTTTGTTGTTTCGAGCATTTCGCACAGCTTGGCCTGAGGCAGGAGAAGGAGCAGCTCCGACACATAGAGGACGACCACCGGCTGTAAATCACCTGTCTGTCGCATCCGATGTGCAAGACTACTCCGAAGCAGACCAGATCAAGCCTCATGAGCTTCAAATGTGAGTCGGGACTTTGAAACAGGAGATGCAGTGGGTCGTGGAGGGCTTTGAGGCAGAAGTCTTGGCCGAATCGTCTCAGGACTCACCCATGTCATGTAGGAGCCATGGCAAACAAGAGCCGAATACAGCCCGTTATGCTCGGTAACTGCTGTCCGCAGACTTGCCAGGACACTCGTCGGGTCCGGGGTTGAGTTTAGACCTATGCAATCACCCGCCAATGTGAACATGGGGTTGCTCAGCAGCTGACGCATGGAGTCACTCTGCCATCTAAGTAAGATCCACCCTCGATTCTAGATGCAATCCCGAGTCACTGGTGTGCTGTCTCATGCTGTCTGGTAGGCAATCCGTCAAAAGCACGGTCCAAGCCACGAAACCTGTTCGCCCAGTTAGTTTTTGGCTTAAGACTACTTTACGGTCATGTGTGATTGAAGTGTGGGCTTCAACCACAACCACTCGAGACTTCGCACTCCATAAGAACCATTCGCTTATTCTATCAGGCCCTTTTCCTGTCTGGCTCTGCCGTGATCTCTCTGTGCTCGGATTTTTGGAGTGGGGAGCTTGCATGGGACATGCAACCTGTATGAACTAGCTAAACACTGCGGGAGCAAGCAGTTAAGTTATTATGCTGAGCTTGGCGGTGCTGATGGTAAGTGTCATAGTAAGGTGAAGCCACACCCTTGTTCTTCATGCCAGCATAGCTGCTCAGAAACGTTGACAGCAGACAATAGCTTTTTCTTCTTCATTTTCTTACGCTCGTCGTCTGTTCACCAGGTCCGATTTCAGTGCAACCCGAGTGTTCGGAGTTTGCATTGCATTTGGAAGGAAACCATTGTAGAAGCTGTGTGCAATCTCAAGACTCAGATACACCAAGCCCCGATCATCCACAATGCATGAAGCCTTTGCCTTTGTCAACGTGCCTCGGAGGCTTATGCTGAACTCACAGTTCTGCAGTTGTCGAAACCCAAGGCCCGTACGACGCTGCACCTGGGCCTGCAGAGGAGAAGCGACCCGCCGAGCTCCGGACAGGGCCACCACCCTTGCAGCTGCACCGGCGTTCCTACAAGGTCTCGGGATGTCTCGGAGTTCGGTGGGGTAGTTTTGCCGGGCACAGAGTTGGAAAGGCTTCTTCTGGTTTCGGTGTCCTGAAGAAGCGACATGCCGCATGACTAATCAATATCTTCTTGGCTGTGCTTGTTCTCACGACGACCTACCCCATCACCGAATCCGGGACCTCGAATGCAAGTGACATAGGTTTAGCACAAAGGCTTCGTTCCTCGGCCCCAAAGCATATGTGGCACGGGGTTGCCGGTTGAAACACAAAAGTACAAAAGTACTGACGGACGGATGCCCGACACCCTTCCTGCTTGACACTTGAACAGGATTCCGACTCTGTCGAGTTTCATTTATTGCATCAATTGCATCTGCAAGGGGTTAAAGGCACGTGTTTGGCAGACTGCCTGAGTCTGCTGATGTCCGCTGACCGGCTCAGGGCTTCAATGGCCTGGTGGAGCAGTCCATGAAGGCCTGGTGCGTAGGGTCTGTGTTCTGGGCACGACGAAGGCTTCGGAGTGGAGGAGAGTTTTTCCTGGTTCTCCTTTCTGGCCTGAGAGGATCTGCTAAAGAAGCACGCCGAAATGATGACGCAAGCAGAGGAAGTGGAGCAGGCATGGCAGCGTGCAGAAGATGTGCAGGTTGTCTGCAACATGCGCCTTTGCTGTGCTAGCACTGCAAGGCTTCCGCGCTGCGCAAAATGAAGCAGCAAAGAGTGACTAGATCGTAGCGTCTGGCCGAAGCGACTCGCTCAGTGTCTCAAGTTTCCAACATCCACCGAACCTGGGAACTTCCGTGCTGGTGAAGACGCTGCGGATGGTGAGCGCGAGAACAACAAGGGCCTTTGCGTGGGTTCTGACCGGTCAAAGCAATGCGCTGCGGTACATGTACTGCTCAACTGACAATGTGGCAGTCAGAACAGTTAGCGTCCTGAAACCTGTTGTTCTCAAAGTCGTGAGCATGGCATCTAAATCAGCAACATCGGGTTGTAGCATGATCCAAGTGTATCAAGTTTGCTGCGAGTGAATGTTTGCTGGAACAGGTGACCTAGCAGACAAAATTGCGGCGTGCCCGTTGAAAATCTCGTGTGACCGGCCTGGTGTTCTGGCTCAAGGGAAGGGCAGCGAGACTGGGACTCCTTGGAGAACTGCAACAGCCTGCCAAAGGCGCAGGGTGCAACGGACAAGCCGAGCTTCAAACATCCTCTCGATGTTGCCGCAATGCAGCTTGTGACTTGTATGTAACCTTTCGTAGTTCTGATTGGGCTGCTTGGAGCAGGTTCGCTAACATGGCGGATTCCAAGAAGCACATGAAGATGGGCACACAGGAGAAGCCAGTCGCCATTCTTCCGGATGGAGCTGAAGCCTAGCTGAGCATTGCCCGTGCAGGAGAGTTTGAAGACTCTGATGAGGCACAGGGATCCTTCCCAGCTGCAGTTGATGTCGTTTGCTTCCTACAGACAGAGCCAGGTCTACCCCAGCTTACGAAAGTCCTGTCGCTTCCAGTCTTCAACCGGAGCGAATCCGTGCACAGGCCGCACATGCATCACGCCATTGACACGTGGATGGCCCAGGCAGGCCCTGTTGGCTGAGATCAAGGTGACCAGTGAAGTGACACTGTGTGTCTGGATAATGGCAAAGTATTTACAGAAAGAACATCATATGTAAAACAATGATGATAAAAGTATGCGTCGATGATCATCGCAGTTGGAACTGCGGGGGTGGTTGTAGTCATGTTGGTCTTGCGTAGTAGTAGTAGTAGTAGTAGTAGCAGCAGCAGGAGTAGTAGCAGCAGTAGTAGTAGTAGTAGTTGTAGTAGTAGTAGTAGTACTAGTAGTAGCAGGAGTAGTAGTACTAGTAGTACTAGTAGTACTAGTAGTACTAGTAGTACTAGTACTACTAGTACTAGTAGTAGTAGTAGTAGTAGTAGTAGTAGTAGTAGTAGCAGCAGCAGCAGTAGCAGTAGCAGTAGCACTAGCACTAGCACTAGCACTAGCACTAGCAGTAGCAGTGGAAGTAGCAGTAGCAGTAGCAGCAGCAGCAGCAGTAGCAGTAGCACTAGCACTAGCACTAGCACTAGCAGTAGCAATGGCAGTAGCAGTAGCAGTAGCAGCAGCAGCAGTAGCAGTAGCAGTAGCAGTAGCAGTAGCAGTGGCAGTGGGAGTGGTAGTAGTAGTAGTCGTAGTAGTAGTAGTAGTAGTAGTAGTAGTAGTAGTAGTAGTAGTAGTAGTAGTAGTAGTCGTAGTAGGAAGAGGAGGAGGAGGAGGAGTAGCCGCAGGCGTAGCGGTAGCGGTAGCGGCAGCAGTAGCAGCAGCAGTAGTAGTAGTAGCAGCAGCAGCAGCAGTAGCAGTAGCAGTAGCAGTAGCAGTAGTAGTAGCAGCAGTAGCAGTAGTATAGTAGTAGTAGTAGCAGCAGCAGCAGCAGGAGTAGTAGTAGTAGTAGTAGTAGTAGCAGTAGTAGTAGTAGTAGGAGTAGTAGTAGTAGGAGTATAGTAGAGTAGGAGTATAGGTAGTAGGAGTAGTAGTAGTAGTAGTAGTATTAGTAGTAGTAGTAGCAGTAGTAGTAGTAGAGTAGCAGCAGCAGTAGGAGTAGGAGTAGGAGTAGGAGTAGGAGTAGGAGTAGGAGTAGGAGTAGGAGTAGGAGTAGGAGTAGGAGTAGGAGTACGAGTAGGAGTAGGAGTAGTAGTAGTAGTAGTAGCAGCAGCAGCAGGAGTAGTAGTAGTAGTAGTAGTAGTAGTAGTAGTAGTAGTAGTAGTAGTAGTAGTAGTAGTAGTAGTAGTAGCTTGCCAGCACGCTGAAGAAGCGAGCGTTTTGTCAAGCAGGTGGGCGACACAGAGAAGAGGGGCCTCCTCCGCCTCATGCGCATGGCCCACCCGGAGGGAGTGCGCAGCTCAATGTCTCAAGCCAGTCTTGGTGATCTGCGTTGAGGCTGTCCGTTGCTGTCATGGACCGCATGCCATTTGCATCTGCCAGCTCCACATCGACAAGCCTCGCCATCCATCTTGGATCCCGAAGTGCGCCACGCAAAAGAAGGCGGAGCAAGATTGAGAGTAGATACCGACGAAGCGGACAACACTGATCTCATTTGTGTTGTACAGGACTACAGTGCTCTGCCCACTGCGGCGTCCGGCTCCAAGACGGTGTTGCATACCGGCATGGCCGTAAGATGCCACAAGCCAAGGTAACATCGACGATGCATGACTTTCAGGGCTGCAACATGCACTCGCATCAGCCCTCCTGAGGCTCAGCATGATGCAGAAGTCTGCGTCCAGCCCCGCTCTGCGCTGATGCCGCATGAAGCACCTACTAACTCTGCAGTCTGGTCTCTCTTTGTGCTCTTTAACTGTAGTTCTTCTGCAGCATGTTTCTGCCTGTATGAGTTTGGTCTTCGATCAGTCGTTGCAGAGAGACCTGGCTGCAAATGTAAGCAAGATTCGCGTTCTAGGCCATATGACTAGCCAGGCCTCTTGAAGAGAGGCTCCCAGTCAGCCCTGGCGAGAGTCAGGTTTGACAACAAGACCAGATGACGATTACCTCTGCAGTCATGTCAAAGCTGACCTCGAAACCGAAAGATGCGTTTCACCTGTACTGGTGGCTTTCAGAGCGTTTGACTTCTGCGTCCCGTCAAGCAGCCGCGCAACCGAGAAAGGCCTCTGGGTCCGCAGGCCTACATTCAGACCTTGAAGAAGGCCGTTCACGATCCACAAGCAACTTCGGTTCGGTGATGAAACAGCCATGGATGGCCGTTCCGGATGCGCTCAGCCGCCCAGCTCCTGGGTCCGCGTGCGGCCCTTCCATGGCAATGTTTTCCCATCAGGTGGCCTTCGAAGACAGTTCCCCTGGCAGAAGTTCTTTCGGCATGTCCGATAAGACCAAAGACATCCCTTCGTGCAGCATGCACACCTCGAGCCGAGCCATGCGGCATTTCGATCGTTGCGCCCGCGACGAGCATCATGCTCGCATGCGTTCCAGACGGCCCGGCCCTCAGCCTTGTCGCATGCAACTATTGCCACAGCCTCTCGACTGAAAATGAGTCCGTGCATTCGTCTCCGTCGTCCCTGAATCGGCTTGTTCAGCAGCGGGCGGCGGACGGTAGGCTGAAGTTTGGAGATGTTCCAGTGCATTACTGCTTCCTAGGCCGGGATGGTCCATTCGCGCTCGCCCGTCGTCTCAAACGCCTCAACGGCCCTTGGTCGCAGGCGCAAAAAGCGAGCTTAGTAAGCCTGTTAGCCACAGATCCGTGGGTGCAGTGTGGTACCTTAGTCGAAGTACTCGAACATAACGTTTTTTCGGTACCCAGTCGGCGTGCAGGCGATCCTCATCATGGCAGAAGAGTGCGAGCAAAAGGCCACGGCCTTTATCAGCAATCTTTCGCTGCGCTTTGCTAAAGCCTTTGCTGCGATCAAGCCATACAGCCTGACAGTGGTTCAGTATATGTCGAATGATTGAACCGCAGTTGCGTCCTTGGGCTCTTCACAGCTCGATGAGGGCGAGGAGACGGTTAGGAAATGGGCATGGACCATGAGAGGACACAGAGACGATGACTCGTTCCCGTGTCTATGTCTGACCCAGCGGCCAGTTTTCAGCAACAAACTTCTGTGTATGCCGTCGGTCAAAACGATGTCGAATGTCGACCACGGGCTCGGTTTCGGTTCAGGTTTTCTAAAACCTCTCAACTTTGAGCTCTCACAGCACTGCCCACTGTAATCTCCGGGTCTAGAGGAAGGCCCAGTTCAGGAGAAGAGTGACGGGTGCTTGAGGTGGTTTGGCGCCAAAGCCTTCTCTCTTTTGAACATTCCAGGTTTCCCCGGATCTCGTCGTCTTCAACACGTTGCTGTCGGTGCTGGGCCGAAGCGGTGCTTGGGTGTCTCGGCTTTGATATCACACGACGACGACGACGACAACTGGTGCTGTTGATGCCAGACATGCTGCATCGATTTCTGTAGAGAGCTTCCTTCTCACGCAGCTCCGGTTTCACTGTTGTGAAAGCAAAAGTGTCATGCATAATGTTTATCATTCGCGTTCGCCCTGCTTCCAGTGGTTTCGGTTCAATCTGAAGATCGGGAGTTGCGGGAAAGAAGAACTACAGAAAGCTTAATCAGATAGTATTGAAGGGCAAACCGCTGGAAGCAGGGTGTGTGCAAACGATAAGCCCTGCACGCCTGCGGGGAAGCTTAGTGCGGATCCTTACATGCATCCCCGCACATGCACATGCATATACACACGTACATCCATCCATACATCCATACATCCATACATCCATACATCCATCCATCCATCCATCCATCCAATCCATCCATCCATGGAGGCATGTCTGTAAATCAATATGAACACATGTGCATACACAGGCCCATATACATGCCCACAAGCGTGCGCACGTAGGTACTCACATACATACATACATACATGCATACATACATACATACATACACACATACACACACACACACACTAGAACTAAAAACGACACCAAACCAAAGCAAGACGCTCACAGCAATTGCTGTGGACCAACTGTCAGTTTGTTTTTTCTGCGTGCTGATGTTTATGCGTATATCGCAAATTATAACGCTCACATTCATGGCTGGCTGGGTGGATGTGTGGGTGGATGGATGGATGGATGGGTGGATATACGTGTGTATGTCTGTACGTAGGTAGGTATGTAAGTATGTAAACTCATCTGTGCTTTAGGGCTTTGAGTTTTGCGATGGATTTGGTGCATCACGCGAGGGGCCTGGATCTGAGACAAAGGTTGCAAGTCTCAGCGTGCTCTCAGCCGTCAGCGCTGCGACCCTGAGGCCATGCGATCACTTGAATGCTAGAGCCGCCAATGGAAGCAGCAACAATTCTCTATCGGGCAGCTGCATGGCAGGTAGTTGGTGGATGCAACACATCTCTCACCCCCTTAGCGGGGCCCTCTGACCAGGCCGGATATCATTTCGAGCAGTACGGCAATCAAGACGTTCACTGCAGGAACTCAGACCCGGTCTCAGAAATTAGCTATATCGTACCAGCATGGAGAAGTGTCCATTTTCAAGCTTGCCGTGCCTTGACCATGATTTGGCGAGTAATGGCACAGCGTCAGGATTGACTCGTACCCGGTTCAACCTAAGCCTCAAACCCTGCCTAAACCCTAACTTTGCTCTTCGACCGCAAGGTGGCTCGAGGGGCTGGGACTCCTGCATTCCGTGCAGCAGGGCGAGGTGGAGCCAGACCTCATTGCAGCAGGCCCAGAGTTCGGCCTCATAAGATAGGGGCCTTATAATTCGTAATTACCAAACCTATTTTGGGGGCTCCTTATGGGAATTATAGTATAATATCGGAATGGAAAGATCGAGGCAAGTTCTCCTGAAACTAAGGGTGTCCTGGATAGGTGGCAGTTGGATAAAGGATGCTTTTGCATTTGGCATTTTATGGGGCATTGGGGTACCTTTGCTTTGAAGCTCTCGTTTGGGATCTGGCACAGCAAGTCGGAGAGCAAGTTCAGATCCCTCGCCTTTTGGACGTCATGTTCATTGCATCGTCCCGCTGGATCTTCATTCATTTGCAGGCGTTAGAGGGTGTCAAGATTGCTGGCAGGACAAAGGTCCTCCTGATTTCGTGCAGTGGCCTTTTGTCTGAGGAGTTGAAACGTTTGACCTTTGGGGTCAAAGGTGTTTTTGGGTTCTTCGTGGGTCGAGGCATTTGCTCGAAGTGATGGTCTGAGTGCACGCGGCTTCACCGTATGGCACAATGCCTTTTGGGCTTTTCGGGTTTCATCCTTGCCTGTGTGATCTGCAGGGTTCCCTTTCGGCGTTTGCAGTCGGAGGTGGGCGATGGTGAAGGTTGTTTGCTGCAAAGTGCCAAGGCTTTCAACTCCCTCATGACCAGCACCTACAGAGGCTGCACGCTACTGCTTCTCTGTGTCAATGATAGGAAAGTCAACGGAATCGCAGCTTCTGCTTGTTAAAGGGTCCTGGCAGTGCAGAGCCTGACGAGCCGCAATGCTAGAAAGTGTGCAGCTCAGATTACATCTTGCCGTCAACACATCTTGGCTCAATCTACAGACTGGAGGAGATCTTGTTGTTGGTTTCACCGTTGCTGCTCGATGTTGTTGTGTGATTGTCGCCCAGATACTTTGAGTCGGTAAAGAGAGGTTTTCATCGCCCACAGGCCCACCCCAGACCCTTTCGAACTTTGACGTAAGTTGGCAATCCGCCATGCCAAGCACGACCCAGCACACTTTTTCTCAGCTTTCACACGCGACGTACACCAAGCTTTGGTTGGATTCCCGAGCTACCTCGTACCGGCGACACTGGAATTGTCTTTGTCGCGTCTCACCTCGTTGTTTCTTCTCCTCCTCTCCTTGAGGATGTGACGTCGGTGTCTGCATAGGGCATAGAGCTGTGAACTCGGAAACATCCGCACAGACAGTGAACTCAGTGCAATCACTGCGCAACCAGTGTCGGTCCGTATTGTGCGCTTCGCTATCTCTGTGCAGACACCGGCAAGGGGGCCCTTCCATCCAGATCACTCCATCCAATGTAAGGAAAAGTGCTGCTAATCCGATTCGGTTAGTATTTTTCAGCTGCTGTAAGCCTACGGCCTACGGGAGGGCCCCATTTGATTTCGGGACTATACCGAAAACATATCGGCATCTAGCCCGCCTATTCAGACATGTAAGCTGACAAGTGGGGGAGGAAACAAGATTACGCTGGGTATACATCATGTAGTAGCGTAGTACACAGGCTGGAGGCATGAGGGTATGGCATCCTAGCCGCAGAGTCCAAAAGCCTCGAATGCCAAACAGTTCGAGCCTTTCTCTGCTTTGAGGGGGTAGGATAGTATCTATCTCCTGCAAACAAGACAGGGTTGCCAGGCCAGAGCGGAAAGTGGAAGAAGGAATAAGCGGCTTTCGGATAGCTTGGCCTGACAGCCCTCTTGCAATCTTCCACCACGGCTGCGAGCCATGAAGCCCGAACCCGGGCACGACCAGATTCTTAGCTGCATTTCGGCTAGAGAACTCGCTCACTTGCATCTCCGTAGTCAGTTGGGGAGGGTCGTAGACCCGCTGACAACGACAACAACGACGACTACCCCTACTTCTGATTCTTGGGCTGGTACTACTTCTTCTTGTGCCGGTACGACCTACTGCTACTGCTACCACTACCACGACCACTACCACGACCACGACGACACTGCTTCTACGACCACGACTGCGACTACGACGACTACGACGACGACGACGACGGCTACTGCTACTACTACTAGTACTACTACTACTACTACTACTACTACTACTACTACTACTACTACTACTACTACTACTACTACTACTAGGCCGGTGCCCCTTCCTGGACCCACCTCCCGTGCATGTGTCAAGCCGCAATTAATCATCACTATGAAATGCTAAGGGGGATGACGAACATGATGTTGCGTGTTGTCACGCACATTTCCGATCGACTCGGCGGGGGGGGGGGGTTGGGGGGGGCTTGATGACGTCCTGTTCGGCATGAGTCTTCAACACTGCACGGCATGAGGCTTGAACACTGCATGCATTGTCGCAGCCATGAGTCCCTTTCTTGCTGTGGCCCTGTCGGCAGTTTCGCTTCTGCGGCAATGCCGAAATGATGAAATAAGTCTCCACGGGGTTTCTGCTCAGCGCAAAAAAGCCGTTGAGCTTCGGGTCCGTGAGTTCCAGTGGAAGCACTGGAATCACCAGCAAGACCTGTGGCGTATGATCGGAGACGTCATGCGCCATAGCGACACGCAGGAGGGGTGAAGAAAAAACGCGTCATCGGCGTAGTTCAAAACGCCAGTTCTAAGCCCAAAATCACCGTTTCGGAGACCCGAGCTGGTCCCCCAAAACAGGGTTTAGCAGCTCCATTCCGCAGTGCACTGAAGTGGGGAAACATACGGCCTGGCCACTACTTTCAGCACTTGCAACAAGCACCGTACATTCCTATTCTTCTTAAAGGTGGGTCCACCGCGGGGCCCCGGGCTACTATTTCTACTGCTGCTGCTGCTACTGCTACTGCTACTGCTATTACTGCTACTACTACGAGGGGCGTGAGCATGTAAGGAGCCTTAACCAGCGCAAGCAACTAAGTACTGAACCCTGGACATGGCCGTGACGTGTGAGCGTCTGTGCGACCGTAGACAAAGATTTGGCACCGACGGCGCCGAGCATTTATCTATATTTGTTGATGTGTTTTTAGTTCTTGGTGCGCTAAGGTATCAAGTGTGTCTGTTTATGCACAGTGGCACTCTGGGCCTGCTGACTCCGCGCTGAGGATATGGTCGCTGACAGGCTTGGTGCTGCTTCAGCTCGGGCGATGTCGCACTCCTGTTGGGGGCCTCTGTCACACTGTGCATTCATATGTCGCAGGTGAGCTTTTGTGGGACATCATTCTGTTCTTGGACGGAAAGGCGCAGTGGCATGTTGAGTGGATCTCCGGGCCGACCTTCAAGACATTTACTTGATGAGACTGGGGGCGGGTTGGAAAGCTTTTTGCCACACCCGAACTACTGCTTGTCACCTTCGCGGGAAGGCGCTGCTGGTACTTGGAACTACTGCGAGTCCTGCCCTCGCATTGTGGCCAGTTCACATGGAGTTTGTGCAGAACAGCGAAGTGGCTGTCAGTTGCATGTGGCTGAGTGTTCACTGAGGTATAGTGCACTAACGACTAGTGACTAGCATGATTCACATTGAGTCTTGAATCTGTTGCTGTGCCATGCTGTGCCCCAGGCTATGTTCTTCTGACCTGCGAGCGCGCCAAGCTACAACGATGTTTGTTGCAGGCCCATCTTGCTGTACCATGGCACCTGCTCATTCTGACGAAGCAGTGCGGAATACCTGCCAGGTAAAAGCTCCTGTCAAGCGACCCGCAGGCCCTGGGATGAAAAGGGCATTCCCAATTATTGCTCCGGCTTTGGTGGTTGCATCTCAATACTCCTAAGCCTGAGCAAGGCTCCAAACTTCGGCTCAGTGACGATGGGCATGCGACCGCGCTGCAACAGATATAGTGCAGTATAATGCAATAGTATATAGTGTAATACAAGCAACTATAGCATATAACTATAATATGTATATAAAATACTTAGTCAAATATCATGTTGGGGGTAACATATGACAGGGGCAGCCTACGTATGTTCCTAGCGTCCTTCTTGATACTCAACACTGCATCCGCAGGCTCCACGCTTGCGTTGCGCTGCACATTCTCAGCTATGTAATTCCTTCTCGATTACGACCTGCTGCCTGCCGGGACATTTTCGCAGTCGTCCTGAGGTGAGCCGCCGCCTGTGTCCCCCACCACGACAAAGGCACGCGACTTGGGAGGATGTGCCGATGGCATCATGTTGGTCGGCTTTGACCTGTTTGTTTGAGCAGGTATGTCAGGAACTTCCTGCCTGTGCAGCAGTCCCTGGCGAAGCTCGCTCGGTTTTCAAAGGCGCGTGAAAGCTCCTCTAGCTCAAAGGTGTAACGGTTCGCCTCCCGTTTTCCCGGAACCTCAATCTGCACATTCTGAGTCCAAGAGCAGTTCAAACTTGGGCAGGAGGGAGATCGGCTTGCTCTTGGGAGCTTGCTACCATGGCTGGAGAACGGCGATGCGTGTACCCGCGCGGAAGCCCAACTTCCGTGCCGGTACAACCTTACTGTACAACGTTCAGGAACACAGATCACGATGGTGATGATTTTTCGAGTCAGGACACTGCCGATGAGCATGGCGACGGCCATGATGGTGGGGATGACTGCCGCTGATATCACTGCCATTACTACCACGGTAGGTCAAGAAGAAGCAACCGCAGCAAAAGCACTGCTACTACGACACCAGCAGCACCAGCGACAACAACAACAACAACAACAGCCGCAGCAACAGCAGGAAGAATCACAACCTCAACCTGAACAACAGCTACCACCACTCATCCTCCTGCTGCTGCTACTGCTGCTGCTGCTACTACTACTACCACAACGACTGCGAGGACTACTACTGCTTCTAATACTAACACTGCTCCGGCTACACCGCTACCCCCACTACCAGCACTACCACCACTAACCACTACCACTACAAAACTAGAACTACCACCAGTAGCATGAGAACTATTACTGTTGCTGCTACAACTACTACCATTCCTACTGCTGCGACTACTACTACTGCTTCTACTGCTGCTACCACTACTACTACCACTACCACTACCACTACCACTACTACTACCACCACCACCACGACGACTACTACTACTGCTACTACTGCTACTACTATTACTACTACTACTACTACTACTACTACTACTACTACTACTACTATTACTACTACTACTACTACTACTACTACTACTACTACTACTACTACTACTACTACTACTACTGCTACTATCACTACTACTAGACGTACTAGACCAACTACTACTACTACTACTACTACTACTACTACTACTACTACTACTACTACTACTACTACTACTCCTGCTGCTGCTACTACTACTACTACTACTACTACTACTACTTCTACTTCTACCACTACTACTACTACTACTACTACTACTACTACTACTACTACTACTACTACTACTACTACTACTACTACTACTACGTCTACTGCTACTGCTGCTATCGCTACTGCTACTACCACTGCTACGACTGCGACGACGACTACTACTACTCGCCCCTTGTCCTACAACCTACTCCTGCTGCTACCGCTACTCCTGCTCTTACTCCTACTCCGAGTCTCCTCTTGGGGGGTCGGGGGACTTAGTAGGTAGTTAGTATGTAGACTTGTAAGTACACCAAAAGGGACCCTAATTATGGTACGTCCATCTGCTCCGCCTGCTCCTCCTGCTGCTACTGCTATTCTTTTGCGTTACTACCACCGACGGCCCGACGGCTGACACCGTAACCCCCCATGAAATATTCAAAGCTGCTCGATAAATGGCAATACATACTTGTGACAAGTATTCCAAAACACTGAAAGATTGGGAGAAAAGGCTTGCTCGCAAGCCCTGTTTACAACACTTCGAACCGACAGTGGTCCGTCCGTGCCTCCAAAAGTGGGAGGTGCTGCAGCGGTGCGGGCCGTTTCTCGTGTCGCTCGCCGCGAGGAGCCCGCAGCCCTGGCTATGTAACTTGTGAACTACAAGTTCCGATGTGTTTTCGAGACCTCTCGCCGTAGAGGTGTAGAAACGGCACACAGCAAGCTTTTGCTAGGACCGCGACGTGCTGGCTTCGCTGCTGGCATGTCTGAGGGCCCGGTGCTCGGACTCGGGACTCGGGACCTCATCCCAAGACCCGGAACTCTTCCGACTGGAGCCGAGGTCCCAGGTCGGTACAAACCATTTCTTTGCTGGATTATCTGTCATCTGAGGATTCCTCCTTCGGCGGCGCCGCCATGGCTGAGATACTAGGGCGCACAAAAGAGTAGACAGCAAGGTGTGGCAATGCAATACTGCAGAAGTGCTTCAAGGAGCTCTTAGGGAAATTAGGCGGACATGGCGCGACTCAGGATGGGCCCTGCTCTTCGATGCCTCGTTGCTCCTGGTGATCCCGTGGTTGCCCCGGAGCGCCGTCACAGTCATACTGGAGTTCTGTTCAAGATTGGCAAACTTGGAGGAATAAGATCAGATCTCTGGGTTTTTTGCAAGCTACTGTTTGCCCGTGTTAACACCACTGGGAAGGGTGCAGACTTTCAGCTCACTCACGTCCCGTTTTGCCGAGGAAGTTGTGGACCACATCACCGGATTGCTGTCGAACGCCGCCTTCGCTGTGCGCCATGCGGCCTTGCAGGCCATGCATCCCAATGTTTTGGTATAACTTATAACTGTATAACTCTAGGGTGTTGGATGTCTCGGCGCAGTTCTGGGAGTCGTGAACTGGATCTGTTCCAAAATTTCAGTACAAGCTGATGCACTTGCTTGCGTTCCTAAGCAGTCCCAAGCCCAGACAATGTACCGGAACTGTTGAACGTTAGTTCAGATCATGGGCACGCTGGCGATTGAACTATCAGTTCTGAACCGTACACTAATTCTGCCACAGGTGGCGCTAATGTGGAAACATCCGTCAATCTCTTGTAATGTAGGTTCAGACTTGCTATCAAATCCCCGTCCGTTTCTCGGTTCCGCTACGTTTGCTGCAAGTGCAGAAGCTTGGCTTTCAGCTGTAGTTTTCATGAGTCAGAAAAAGTGCGACTAGCCATCTAAGAGGCCCGCTCTTTGACCGTATTTGACCGTATATCTCATTGCTTGTTCCGGCTGCATGAGTATCTCATCCGCCTGCCTCTGATGCACTCCAGACGCTGATCAGCTTCTGTTCGGGGATTTGCCGAGGGCAAACCAGTTGGGCGCCTCTTTTCATGTGGTGTGCAGGCCAAAAAGTGGGACCCCAGTCCTTGAGTTGTGATTCTTGCCTTTGCTTCGTTCATGTTTGAATCCGGTCCGGAGGCTTTGCCCCACGTGGTGGCCAAAGGCGATGCACATGCCATTGACAAGATCCTGGCACGAGCGGATGACAAGGAAGTTCATGGCGAGAAAGATGCCTTCGGAGATTGTCCTTGTGTCTTATATGGTCGTTCGTGTCGACAAGTCGTGCCAGTTCCCTCGAAGATGCGCAGTGTAAGCCGCAGGACGTCGAGATTCGGGAGGAGGCCATCCGCGCACTGGCCCAGGTTGCCAGCGAAGGTGCGGAAACCAAATTGACTAAGTCCAGTGACAGACAGAGCACTGATTAGTGCAGAAGAGGTCTGTGTAGCATAGTAGACCACGTGATTGGACAGTATTTCAGCCTGCTCATTCTTTACTTGGCTACCACCGCGATTGTCCAAACTCTACCTTTGTTGAGCCTATTCCCCTCACGATAGTAAGCACATGTAACCAGCTTTTCATGCCAGCCTTGGCATGCCCTGACGATCTTTCATGCCCATGGCCTCCTGTCTGTGGGCAAAGCTTCTCGCTTGCCAGACGACCATCGGGCGCTGAACTATTTGATCCGCGGCCTGCGCAACCTGGCAATGCATACAGGAATAAAGATCAGATGCACTCGCTGCTGTAGTCACAGCACAGGTGGGAGATCCGTGGCAGGGCAATTCTGCAATTACGGCTAAACAGTGTAAAGTGTAAGGAGGAGAATGACTATCACGATGCAATCGACGTTGGGTGGACCACAATGCTGCTGCTGCTGCTGCTGCCGCTGCTGCTGGTTCTTGCATGTTCTTGCTACCGATAGTCTATGCTGCTGATTCTCGTGGTGATGCTGGCGCTGCTGCTGATGATGAGGCTTTTGTTTGTTGCTGACTGATTGGTGATTGGACAGGCCTTGATCGAACCCTGGCGGAACTCCAGAGGCTACCACTGTTTAACTAAATAATATCTATAGTCACTTCGTCATGTACATCTGGTCACGAGGCGATGAGTCCATCTATGTGCGCCGCGCCGCTTTGGAGGTCCCCAGTGCTCACGCGGCATGCCCCCGCCCGGCTATAAGTCAGTGCAAGAGGGTTTCCGTGTTGAATGGGTCGGTTGCAACACTGTTCTGCATCAGTCGGAAGAACAGGATGCGGCAGCACCCAGAGATTTAAGCCCCTCCTTCACCCTCCAGCCGCCACTCACCCTTCGTCTATGATCCGTGAATCCTTGTTAGCCCCACTAAGCCGTCAACTCCAAGCTCCAAAGTCGCCATGAGCTCCGGTCAGTCGCAGGTGCTGCCTCTTTCCGCGTGAAGGGCCAGCGCGGGGCGACGGCAATCTCCGAGGTTTCGAGAAGATCAGCGGAAAGTAGAAATCTAAGCCCGCCAGGAGACCTACCATGCTATTATAGTTTGGTATGGTTCTTAAGTTGCTAAGTAGGGGGACTGAGCACCGGCGTGGCGCGATTCACATGCCAGGGTGGTAAGCTTTACACTGAACCGAGGGTCTTCAGGCATGATTGAAGCTTGGTCCCGAATACCGGCAGTACAGGGTGGCATGTTTTCATGGGTTTTGGGTTTAGCGTTTAGGGGTTTAGGGTTCCATGCCTCTGAATGCCGCCTGGTGAGCCTTGTTGTTCTGGTGGTCGTGGTGCTCGTGGTTGGCTTGGTCGTCGTGCGATCTATCACTGTTTTGGATCTATGCTGGCATGAGTTTTTTCTCTTCAACGGGTTGTAGGCAGGAGAATGGCGTAAGAGAGACCATGGGATTTCCAACCCCAGATCAGAGAACTGATAGCCTGTCACACCGCATACAATCCCCTAATGCTCACCTGGTTCAAGCAACGACATCAATGTTGCTAGGCCTTGCTACGGACACGGGCAGCAACTGTGGCCTCGTCCCATCCTTCCAAACTGCTGCCCGACTCTGGCTGAGTGCTACCCTTTCCTGTGCACCCCTAAAACCGAACTGAAGCCTTCGATGCGCGGGAAAGAGTAGCCACGGGGCTGATGGAGCAGCGTGCCACGAGCTGTAGCGGGCCTTAGCAAAAGAAACCTCGACGATCGGTTCGAGGACAATTTTTGGACATGGCAATTGCAACTAATTGCATGCATGTCGGCTGTGCATTGCTTTGAGTCGGCAAAGCCCCAAAGAGAAGTGAGTAGGAAATTCGAGCGAAGAGCTTCCGCGATGCAAGTTCCTTGTGCTTCGGCTTTGCGGTACAGGCAAAACGGCGGCTTGCAGTTCACGACTGCCCTACATGGGGCCTTCCGACAGCCTTCCGAACCCGGTAGAGCCCGATCCAGAGACTGCAGAGTCCAAATGATCGGATTCGCACGGAGTCCTCGCTGTGGAAGGGGGAAGGAACCTTGTAATCTTCGCCTGTGCACTGCCTCCTATCTCAAGAGTCCTGTTCCTCTTGTGGCCGTCTCTGCTTTGCAAAATATGTATAATGTAGTCCACCTCGTGTTCATGAGCTATGGTCTCCGTTAGAGACTTGCTTGTATCAATGTGACATATGTGTATGATGCATGTGATGCATCTGTACTGGGTGCATGCAGGCGTGACTTCAACTTTGATGCTACCACTTAGGAAGCCAAGGTCGCATGGTGGACGGTTAACCTGGAGCCTAAAACGATCGAAGAGTGATCTTCCCGACGGCACAAGTGGAAAGCTCGAAAGTTGCACCGGACTCGAGTGCCTTTGTGTTCATCCCCGAGAAACATTATCTTGCGATAGTTTTGTAGGCACATGATTCAGAGTACTGCCCGCTTGAATCCGGTGCTGGTGTGATTCACCGTGAGCTATGCTGTGGCTGCCATATGCACTTCCTGTAGGTCGCGTCGGTGGGCCCACATGTACAAAAAGACACTGCTTCTCATGCCTTGCGGGACTCTGTTTTGGCTGCGCGTTCACGCAAGAAGTGAGTCATTACCAGCTTGATGGAGGACAGGAATGGGAGCACTCGATGGAATTGGCCACTCGCATGTGACTCGTCAGAAGTTACTGCCGGCTGCACTTTACTTTACTGATGTTGAACTACATGTTTCCGAGGTCACTACTTGGTGTGGGTCTCGACGGCTACAGCCAGGGTGCTCTTCTGATGGTGCGACCCGAAATTGGTGGAGTTGGGGGAATAACACTCTAGGCTGACAGAGCAGTTACGTGTTTGAAACTGCAGGCCTGTGCGAAAGGGCTGCGCTGGACGCTGCCATTGCGCCTGCTGTGGCCAAGCAGATTTTGGAGTGTCCGTAATGTGCTTTCGGCTGCGAACCTCAATCCTACGTTCAAAACCTCAGGGGCCTGGATTGATCCAAACAGCCCGAGGCCTTAATGTTCTGAGACTGAGGTCAAGCAGGAGGCTGCTGGGCGGCTCAGGAGGCCTTGTTTGCTGCAGTGTGCTGCGCTCAGCCCGTCCTTTCCAGCAGGATACAGGTCTTGTTAAGAATAATGTAGTTTAGTGTATGTCACGTACACATGTATGCATGCATGCTGCATGCATGTATGCATGTACATGTATATGTACATGTACAGCATGCGCACGAATCTACCCACATCTAAACACAAGTGGGTGCTGTAAGACTGTGGGAACGCATGCGACAGTGAAACTTGCTGTGGCTTTTTCAGCCATCATGTAGTCCAGCCTCGATTCTCAGTGGTGCTTAGGCTGTCCTCAGCGCTTGCGACCGCAGTCTAAAGCATCACGGCAGCAAGTGAAGCTTTAAGTTGGAGTTCTGTGGGTCCTGCAGGAAGGGTTGCTGGTGTTCTTGACTCTCTTCTCTTGCCAATCCTGCAAGCCTTGGCAGTTGGATGTACTGTTGGGGCTCCTGTTTGCCCCTTCAACCAAAGCCACTAACCGCCGAAATCATAGCCCAACATCCGTGAACCCCCATGCTGGTGCGGCTGAGGTGGGCATCGGCTTTTGGATTGCAGCGACCCTGGGGAGAGTCTTAAGTTCGTTTCTGATGAACACACACACACACACACACATACAGTGTGTATGCATGCATGCATGTACGAACGTTTGAACTGCTTGTATGCACGTGTGATTGCATGAATGTATGAATGAACGTGTGTATAGATGGATGGATGGATGGATGGATGGATGGATGGATGGATGGATGTGTAGACAGTATGCGTCCTTAGATGAACGTATGTCTATGATGTGCAGAACATGTATGTACCGGTATGTGTATTAATGCAGCCAGGTCGGTAGGCAGGTTGGTAGGTGTGGGCAGGTAGAATGTAAGCAGTACAGGTAGTTAGGTTGGTGTCTTGCTTGCTTGTTTGGTAGGTAGGCAGGCAGCTATGTAACTAGATGCCTAGTAGGAGATAGCCAGCTAGCTAGCTAGCTATGTATGAGGGTAGGCGTGTAGGCAGGTGACAGGCAGGCAGGCTGGTAGGTGGGTCGGTAGGGAAGTAGACACATACGAGAATGCATATTACATGTAGGTAGATTGTGAGACAGAGATAGAAACGTGAGTGGACGGATGGATCGCTGGATGGATAGATAAATGAAGATAGCCCCTCAGCCACAGACCCTAAGCCCTACTAGCCTGTCGGAAAAGAGCCCTGATCAAGAAGCAAACTCTCGACCCTATAGCTATACGTAGGTGTATATATTATATTGCATATATTTATTATTATATGTATACCTCGGCCCTCTGAATTGGGACAGCGAGTGCTCGACAAGATCTGAGGCTCGTGGCGGCCGGTTCCAAAGGGCTGCGTGCAGACGGCCAGGCCCCAGAGAGAAGATCAACCAAAAAGATGATGTAGTCCTAGGCGTAGTGCATAGTAATTATAGATGGGGAGAGCGGGGAGAAGACCGCGTAGACACAGCTGAACCCGTGTGTTTGGTGCAAAGTTGTCATGTTGTTCTGTCTGGAGGCCAGCTTTGCTTGCTGGGCTTTGGAGCATTTGGGGGCACCTGTAGCGGCCCCCAGTGAGTGTGGTCGCAGCAACATCCCCTCATACTTGTTTATACTTACTATTCGTATTATTCATTGCTATTACTTTAGTACCTTTATTCAAGACTGCTACTGGGTATAATATACTATAAAATACTATAACATATTCAAGAGATCCCTGGAGGCCCTGGGGGCGGTGCTCAGCGTCCTGGGCGCCAAGGGTCTTTGGCGCAAAGCCGGGGTCCCCGCCGAGGTGTCTTTAGGTGCACTCGAGGGATGGCCTGAAATCGTGTGAGACATGCATGAAACCATAGAAATATTAATGAGAAGAACAAACGAACAGCAATAGTAGTAACAATAACAACAATACTAACGATAGTAGAAGTGACAATAATAGTGACCATCAGGATAGTCATA